GTTTTGCGACCTATATTTCTACAAGTAACAATAAGGGCGCATTGCGCCCAGAGAAATTTTTTGACTTTTTGCTCTGGTGTTGAAAACTATGCCGTAGGCAACAGTTAGCAGCAAAATTTCAATGACATTGATTTTAGCTCTTTACGATGCGAAAGCAGGCAATGGTTTCCTTTTCTTTGCTGGATCTGCAAGCAAGACCACTGGCCGTCAACCTACCTCACGTGCATGGTCCGTCACATGAATTCTTTATTCACCACTGTCAGGCAGTTCTTTACCATTGCATTCGACAGTTTTCATCTGGTTTTGAATTTTGAGGTTTTGTAGGTCCATACAAGATTTTTCCTGTTTCTACGGTTTCCAACCATTTCGCCCAGTGGAGACCATGCCTCCCACTCCACCGTTGGTGCTGTGGCTGTCTTGACCGCCTTACGGAAACTATGAACTCTAAACCTTCAAGCCCCAGTTGCAGCTCCCCTTCTAGTGCCAGCCTCCCGGTTGGTATTCCGATGGCAGGCCGCAGATCTCAGCATTTCCTGGCTACTTCTAATAAGCAACAACAACAACACCTTCAGGGCTTCACATAGGCTTTGCGGGTTTCGGGAAGGTTTAGAGTTCATAGGGTTCAAGGCTTCATGCAGTTGCTAGGCCTGCTTGGTCCACACCTTAAAACCACCCTAGCAAAACCTACGAATTAACCCCAGAACAATCCTAGATTAAACCTGAAGCCCTAAGCGCTAGAAGCTTAACGTCGGCCCGAAGGCTCCTGGTTGTGCCCCGTCCTGCGAAGGGGACCGTAGATTGCCCAGTCCTCGAGCCGCCTCCGCGCTTGCGGCGCTTGCTTCCTCTGTGGTCTATTGCAAGAGGGTGTTGGCCCGGTGTTGGCTCTCCAGTCCTCCCGAGCACACGGTCAAAGAAGCGCATGAAACATGGCAGTTTCTGCATCCCCTCATCCCTCCCTCCCTCACACATCCCTCCCCTTGCTCCCCCCCGTTGCTCCAGGACATCAGGCCCCTTGCCCCTCCGCAACCGGCGAGCCCTTTGGGACAGTTTTGGCTGTTCCAAAGATCTTCTTGGACCCCACCCCCAGACGAATCTAATCGTAGTCCGGCTCTAGAGAGCTTGAAGTGGAGATTTCAATACTCACACTGGGCGGAAAAGTGCCGTTTATGATTTATTCTCTGGGTGGTTTGATGATTGATCGGCTTAGTTACACAGATGCTGTTCAGGAGGTTGATAGAGTGCTTTGCCCCTATGGCTATGCAGCCAAGGATGCTGTTCACTATGGTATGTCCAGGAGTCTAGTTCCTCTTGAACCCAGAAGCCCTTCACCCTGACATCCTCAGAACTCAGACTTCCCCTAAGTCCCAAGATCCATCATAGCATCCACCCTAAACCCTAAACCCAACTCCCAGGAGTCTGCAAGCTGAAGTCATACCCTGAATGGTCGAAATCACTTGAACAGGGGTGCCCTCGACCTGCCTCAAGGAAGTGGGGAGCTCAGCGGTTTAAGATTTAGGGCTTAGGGGTTTTTAAGGCTAAGGTTTAAGATTTAGGGTTTAGGGTTTGCAGTGTAGGCTTTCTAGGGTTCAGGATTTAGGGTGCTAGAACAGCTGCGATCCAAATGAGATGTCAGCTTGATCCCTGACTGTCGTCTCGGCTATGCAATCCCTCGGCTCAAGCTTCTGCACGACGACCAGAGTGCCTCTTCCTTACGCATGGCCATGCCGAGTATCTCTGGCTCCGGCTGCAGGCACCGCATCCTAAACCGTGTTCATAAGATAGGACCCGTCTGGTGTACGGAAAGTTTCCATCCCTTTGGGGGGGTGGGCTTCACAAAATTAAGCATTCCGCAACCGCCAACATCACAGTAGAAACATTCGGCTTGAGCCCGGTGCTTCAAAGCTCGTTTGCTACCCGCAAGGAAGAGCATAGCACCGTACACCGCAGCCGGTCATCAACCCTCCTACCCCCTCGAGCCACAATCTACTGCAAACCAAAGGTCGCCCCAGCACAAGCCCAACAGTGTCGGCGCAGCATGCAGGCTGAATTGATCGATGTCAGCCGAGTGTTAAGCATTTGAGGGCACAAGGAAAATTCAATGTATCATTAATTATGAGGTTGGTCAACATACATGATATGGAAGCAGACGGTTCATGCTTCGCAGGTTGTAGATGCACGGACCGAGGGCTTCACGCAATGTTGCCGTGGCACTCTGGCCTTCGTGATCCTGCCGCGCTGGCTGACTTACTCCTGGATCCTCGGATCGACGTTCGCCTCATCCGCGGCACGTACCTCGAGAAGCTACACCAGGCGAAACAGACGGTGATCCGGCGCCAGGAGATCGAGACAGAAACTGATGCAGTGGTTACGCCTGAGGAGCTGCTGCGATGGAAAACGGACGAAGGCTTCCGGCGCAGAGTGCGGATCATCGGTGTCTCGCATGTTTGGGAGACAATGGAGCATCCCGACCCGACGGGGCATCAGCTGGGCATGCTGGTGAACGCAAGACTGTGGCCTGACAAGTGGTCATGGTATTTTTTCGACTACATGTCCATCTACCAGTTCTATCGGGGATATCAGTACAGCCGCCAGCAGCGATGCTTCGATGCTGCAATGCTGCATATGCATTTCTTTTACGCCCACGAGCACACCTACACCTACTGCATTGAGAGCTTGACGCCGCCGGACCAGATCGATGGGGACCGCAAGATCGAGGTGTTCTTCACACCGGATGGAAGGGGAGAGTCTGGACAAGTGCAAACCGTGGCGGTGAAAGACCTCATGCCAAATGCCACTCCTGCCAACGAGCGGGGATGGCTGGAGGCCGAGATGCAGTGGTCCAGCATGCGAAGCAACACCAAGAGAACCTACATACTTCACAGTGATCCATCGGTTGCTTGGAGCAGGGCTCCCATGCAGCCTGATCTCTTTATCCAGAAGGTGGTGCGGAAAGAGCTCAAATTCTCTAGCAGGCAGTGCCGCCATCAAATTGTGCAACTGCACCAGAGAGTCTTCACAGAAAAAGCGGCGCATTGCGAGTCGTTGAGTTTAGCCACGTTGCCCGCGGGCCAGGTGGCTGTTCTTTGCCACGCCTTGCCATCGTATCAGAGACTACAGATCTTGGTTGTGACGGACAGCTGCCTTGAGAAAGAAGATGCAGAAGACCTGGGAGAAGTGCTGCGTGTGGGGTTACAGGGCTTGCAAGCTTTGAAGCTGGTAGGAAACCGCATGGACAGCACTGCGTTGACCGCCATCGCAGAGGGGTTGAAAGGGAACCAGTCGATCTCGCAGGTTGACCTTTCATCTTCGATGCTTGGCGACAAGCCAGCCAGAGCCCTGGCGGATTTGCTGAAGCAACCGGGCAGCCCATTGCAGAGTTTGAATCTCTCGCACAACGCGATCGAAGCGGACGGTGCCAGGGCTTTGGCTGAAGCATTGCTTGAGAATCAGCGCTTGGAGAAGCTCGCCATGAACCACAACTACCTGGCAGATGCTGGAGCGCTGGCCTTTGCTGATGCCCTCCTAACAGGGCGGGTTGCGTTGAAGTACTTGCACCTGGACCACAATGACATCGGAGACGTGGGCTCGCGCGCGATCAATCAGGCGCTGCTGAGGGCGTGGATTCGCGGCATGCGGCAGTTCTTCATCAGCTTGGAGCCGTATGGGAAGCGGGACCTGTTCCGGACGCAGGTCTTCGTTCTCGCACTCGCCTTCCTTCCTCAAGGGGTTTGCTATTGTGGCTATGCCTTCCTGGCATTCAAAGATGTAGATTCCACGAGAATGCGGCTCCTCGCTGCCGATTTATCCGCAGTGATGCAACAAGCCAAAAAGATGCTCCATAATATTTTTCACCCCTCCATGCAGCACGGGTTTTCCAATACTTCCAGAGTTCTGGTGGGGCAGACAGGGGTCATCCTGGTGTCTGAAGCTGGGTGGGCAGATTTTCTTGACTTGTGGATCCTTATTCCAGTGTTCTGTATCGACATTCTTTGTGTCCGTGCGGGCGCTTGGAGTGGTTTTCTCAAATTGACATGGCCAATGGGCGCGATTTGTGTCTGGTTTTTTTATGGGACGAGTGATTATAATTCTGTGTCGGATAGCCCCTTCCCTCTTAATGTGTTTTATGCTTTCATTTATTTGCCCATGTGGGCTTGCCTGGTGGTGGATTTCGACCCGTGGACCGGGATTTCTATGCCAATTTACAACAGGGCACAAAAGATGGTGACCTCGCAGCCAGCACGTGCACTCATTGCGCTTATGGCCTGGAACTTCTGCATTGCGCTCTATACTTGCCGCCGGCAACACTGGGCACGTATGAATCAGGTCATGATCGCAGTGACGCTTGTCGAAGCCATCGTAGGTTCCTACCTCGCCTGGAACAGCAGCCCTGCCCTGCGAGCTTCTATCCGCCTTCGCTTCCGCAAGCTTTGTGCCCGTCGAAAAGGCCTTTGCGGTGGACGGCGGCTGCGTGACGATTCCAACCTACTCAAAGTGGTCTGACTTTCAAGACGCACGAACTGAGGCAAAAGATGCGGACTGAACCTGAGATTTGCACATTGGATCGTACGCATGGTGATGGTGATGTCCGATGCTCTCCTGCAGTCTTTCCTCCTTAAGTCGCTGGTCTGAACCACGGCAGCCCCTGTTTTCAAATCTATGTCTCTTCGTGTCTCCACGAACTCGGCTTACACTGATTGTGGCCTTGCCATCTTATCAGCAGTGTGGTTCAGAACTCTACGCATCCATCCGGGGAGTCATTGTGTTCAGCAGGCTTTGTGACATCTGCAAGATTTCTCAGAGGCTGCAACCAAGCTGTCATACCCCATGATCGCTGAGCACCTGCACTGGAGGAAAGGAGTAGTGCACGCACAGCGCCATGGCGGACGCATGTTCGGGCGGAGAAAGCCCGTCCGGGAAGTGAATCAATCTTCCATTATAGTTTCTTCTAGTCTAGTGTCGTCTAGTTAGTATAGCATAGCATCGCATAGTATAGTATATATTTTATCATTTGAACTTATACATCTCATATACCCGGCGGAGGTGCCCACTGCCATGTCAACGTCTACCCGAAGCTGCCAACTCTTTGCAGGTTCTGAACCTTAGGCCCGCAGCTTCCTGAAGCCTTTTCAACCGTGAACTGCAAAACCCCAAACTCCGGAATCCGAAGTCAATTTTCTCGAACCTGCACGCTGATCCCTGCTGAACTTCCAACTGGCAGTGCAGGTGTTTGGGAACCAGGACTGGATCCTTTAACACGAATGTCCAAACCCTTGGAGGCGTTGACTGTACTACATAAAGTTACTATACCTAGAGCAGCAACAGGAACTGTAGCCATAAGTATAACTACGACGGTACTATAACTATCGAGCCGGAGGTGCCTGGGCTCCCCGGCATTGGCCCTCGCCTCCACCCTTCGAGGGCACCAGCGACCTATGCTCGCAGTGCTTTGGGAGGACTCCTATTTCTTTCTAGCAGATCTTTATGAGGGGAAGGAAAAACTGACTAGGAAAGAACTTCGGGGCTCCTGGAGTTGAAGCTGCTCGGAAGGTTTCTGCCAGTTCCGCAGTTTCAGGCCGTGTGTGTGAGGGGTTGAGGCATGTCTGATCTTCGTCGTCAACGAAGCAATCGGTTTAGCGGGTAAATGCCGGTAGATGAACAAACGCTTGCAGGATGTTCCTTTGTCTGGCACTCAGCTGGAAGCTTCAGCTTATGTCGTGGACATGGAGCCTGATTTAACATGGCAGCCGCAGGCAGCTGAAGCAGTTGCTGCTTTAGGGATGTCCATCCCCTTAAGCCTCCCAGTAACAGAAATCATGCGACCAGGCCGGCAAAGGAAAGTACTTTCTGGGTGCATGCCTCAGCCGATCTTCTGAGATCCCTCTCTCTCTCTCTCTCTCTCTCTCTCTCTCTCTCTCTCACTCTCTCTTTGGCTCTCCTTCTCTCTCGCTCACTCATTTCTGACAGTGTTTCCATTTTGTTATGACCACAATGCATGCCCGGAAGAAGGTTACGTCGGCATGTGCTACCTGACGACAGGAAGCTTTGCTTCCCCCAGTGTGGCTGGTGGAGAAGTTGAAGACTCCGAGTCAGAGTCGGAGTCTAGTGTCTCTGTCTCTACACTACAATCACTGCAACCGGACTCCCACTATCTCCGACTCCTGACCTGAGAGACCCGTGCCCACTGGACAGCTGCTCTGCCCTGCCAGCTACAGTCTGCAAGCGCGTACAGGCCTGGCCGTCTCATGGCACAAGCGGTGATCGCGGCCGCCCCCGCGGAAAAGGCGCAGGGGGACACAAACTCGAATATGTTTTCCCCGGTTCAGCTCAAGCCTGCCAGGCCTCAGATACGGCCAGTAGCCGCGCGTGGGCATACTGGCATGAGCTTCAGAGGGTCTTGCACACTTGGGCTTGGTGAAGCAAGGGAGCCGACAGACATAAGAGCAGACCCCCGACTTCAGTGCTTCTTGCTGCTCGCTGTGGTGCAGCATGGTACAGCAAGGTTCCCAGCTGACGCAAAGGCAAGAAGTGGCTCAACAAGGGGCAGTAGCTTCAGGGAGCTTCGCCAATCTATATCATCCCATGTCCAAGCTGTGTCACACATAACTATGTCCACTATGTTAACATCGCGAATCATGAATTCAATCCAGCCCATGTTCCGATGGCAGGTGCAGACAGCGGAAACCATCTGGGAGGCCTTAGCTGCAGAACCATCCGGACTATATTACTACTATTATTATCATTATTA